TGAAGAACCAGAAGCAAATCCACACACCTAAGGACTCTTGATTTTTGACAAAGAAACCAAAACTATACAATGGAAAAAAGAAAACATCTTCAACAAATGGTGCTGGTCTAACTGAATGTCTGCATGTAAAAGAATGTAAGTAGATCCGTATCCATCATCATGCACAAAACTCAGGTCCAGGTGGATCAAAGACTTCAACATAAAACTGGATACACTAATCCTGTTAGAAGAGGAGTGGGGAATAGTCTTGAACACAGTGGCACAGAAAATTTCCTGAATAAAATACCAACAGCTCAGATATTAAGATCAACAATTAATATATGGGACCTCATGAAACTGAAAAGCTTCTGTAAGGCAAAGAAGGACAAAAAAAGCAGCCTATAGATGGGAAAAGGTTTTCACCAACTCCACATCTAACAAAGGGCTGACATTCAAAATATATAAAGAACTCAAGAAAGTAGGCAGCAATGAACCAAATAACACAATTAAAAAAAAAATGGGGTAGAGCTATAAACAGAGTTCTCAACAGAGCAATCTTTAATGACCATGAAATATTTAAAAGAAATGTTCAAAGTCCTTAGTCATCAGGGAAACACAAATCAAAACAACTCTGAGATTCCATCTTACACCCACCAGAAAGGCTAAGATCAAAACCTCAAGAGACAGCACATGCTGGCAAGGATGTGGAGCAAGGGAACACTCCTCCATTGCTGGTGGGAGTGCAAGCTTGTACAACCACTTTGGAAATCAATTTGGCAGTTTCTCTGAAAACTGGAAAGAGATCTACCTCAAGACCTAGCTATCCCATTCCTGAGCATATACCCAAAAGAAGATCCACCATACCACAAGGACACCTGCATAATTATGTTTATAGCAGCTTTATTCATAATAGTCAGAAACTGGAAACAACCTAGATGTCCCTCAACTGAAAAATAGATAAAGAGAATGTGGCACATTTACACAATGGGGTATTATTCAGCCATTAAAAACAATGACATCATGAAATTTGCAGGCTAATGGAATTAGAAAAGATCATTCTGAGTGAGGTAACTCAGACCCAGAAAGACAAACATAGTATGTACTCACTTATAAGTGATTAAAGTACAGGATAACTATGCTACAAACCACTGACCCAAAGAAGCTAAATAACGAGGAGAGCCCAAGGGTACAAGCTTGGGTCTCACTGAGAAGGGGAAATAGATTAGACAGTGGTGGTGGATGAAAGGAGGGGACTGGATGGGGGAGGTAATTGAGATGGAAACAGAAAGAATGAGGTGGAGGGAAGACAGAAGGAGAGAGTACTAGGAGAGACTACTGTACTGGAGGAGGCATCTCTGGGATGAGCTAGAAACCTAGGACAATGAAAATTCCCAGGAATCTGTGAGGGCAACCCTAGCTAAGACTCCTAGCAATGGGGATATATGGAGCTGGAATTGATCATCTCCTGTAGCCAGGCAAGAATTCCAATGAAAGATGAGACACCCACCCAGCTACAAAACCTTAAACCCACAATTTGTGCTGCCTACAGGATATGCAGGGGTAGGTAATGAAGTGACTGGCCCAGCTTGAGACTCATGCCATGAGAGGGGGCCCATGCCTGACACCATTGATGATATTCTGCCATACTTGCAGACAGGAGCCTAGCATTAACATCATCAGAGGGGCTTCACCCAGCAACTGTTGGAAGGTGATACAGAGACCTACAGCCAAACACTGAGTAGAGCTTAGAGAATCCTATGGAAGAGAGGGTTGAAGGATTGAGGGAGACAGAGGGATCAAGGACAAGAAAACCTACAGAGTCAGCTAACCTGGGCCAAAGAGGCTCATGGAGACTGAACCACCAACCAGAGATCAGGAATAGGACGGACCTATGCCCTCTGCACATATGAAGCAGATGTGCAGCTGGGTCTTGACGTGGGACTCCTACAGTGGAAGCGGGGGCTGTATCTGACTCTACTGTCTGCCTTTGGATCCCTTTCCCCTAACTGGGCTGCCTTGTCTAGCCTCAGTGGAAGAGGATGTACCTAGTCTTGCTGTGGCTTGATATGCCAGGGCTGGTTGATGTCCATGGGAGGCCTCCCCTTTTCTGGGGAGAAAGGGAGGAAAGGGTGGGTGGAGGGGAGAGGAGAAGTGAGAGGGAAAAACTGGGGAGGAGAGGAGGGAGGAGAATTTAAATTTAAAATTTAAAAGTAATAAAAAATAAATTTAAATTAATTTAAATTTAAATAAATGTAAAAAATTTAACGTAATAAAACAAGGGAAACAATTCAATTTAAAAAACATCAACAATACCAACTCTTAAGTAACTGATGAAAGCTTTAAATACACAACCCTCTCAATAGATAGATAATGTGTGTGTAGATAGATAAATAGATAAATAGACAGATGAGAGGGAGAGATCTATAAAATTTGGAAGTGCCTAGAATATGTAACTACACAAACAGCTATTGTTTCTTAAAGTTCTTCTGCTTGTTTCACTGTGAAGCTGGAATGATTTGTTGATGTAATTTTAATTCAAACTTTTCATTCTATTAACTTCAAAAAATAAGGGAAAATGTTCAACTTCAAAAAATTTACCTAGGTAAAGTTGATCTTTAGAAATAATGTTTTCCAAGCTGCTTTTGAAGACAGTTAAGTAGGCGGCTCTACAATTCATATAAAATATCTCCTGTTCAGTCAGTGGGATTGTCTTTGTTCGAGGACTCCCTGAAAGCACTGACTTCTGAGTACCCACAGCTGCATTACTTCCAGGATCGCTGGCCATTCTGTTAGAGAGAAAATGATGAAAAATGTTTACTTTAGTCAATGTAAATCACCTAAAATGCAAATGTGCCCCCATGGGGTGGCATACTAGGGTATTAAAGTTTTCATGTGTAGAATAAAAATGATAAATATTCTTAATACCTCTATGAACTTATCAGTATATGTTAAGTAGAATAAGTCCTTAACAACTGATTTCTAATTATATACATACACTTACGTATATAATTTCTCAAATATTCAATGATATCTCAAAGAACAATGATGTAGCATAATACAGAAGAATCAGAACAAAGACAATGCATACATGCACCAACTCAAAATACGACTTCAGGGGAGACTTCACAGGGTAGTTAAGATTACGTCAGTTCACACTTGTTAAATATATAGAATACTTTAGGACGCATAGATGCTAAAGAAAACATACATGGAGTGAAACTCCCCAACAGTGAGATTTTTTTTTTTTTGTGCAAATCAACTGCAGTTGGACCCACCCTCCGTTGCAGGATAACTACCATCTCATTCTCATTTCTACGATACAGTTCATGTCAAATCACTGAATATTTGACGTTTCATTGATTACATTGGGCTTTATAGAGTTCCTTTACTAGTAATAATATTTAGGGTCTATACAGCATGTCTGCTCATAAGACATAATGTATAATCAAACATCTTATTTCATCCTTTACTACACTGACCAGACACTTTTTGTCCATTTTACAGATGATGAAATTGAGGAACAGAGTTGTCACCCAGTCAGCAGTAAGTTGTGAAATTTCAGTAGTTTCTTCTTTTAATGTGGATGAAGGTTTATTGAACAAAGGCTACTATGCAGTGTAAAATTGTTCTGGTGGTCTAATGGCTTCCAACATTACCTTATCCTGCGTTGACTTCTAAAAATACATTCCAATCTAATAAATTGAATAGTTCAAGTTGAACAACAAGATGACACAGGTAGGGTCCCCTTCAGGACTCATTGGATTCTTACTCAGGAGGCCTAAATCGCTGGCACCTTCTTGAATTATGGAGGTCTTTTACACTTGGGAAAGAAAGATAATAATCGCTTATCATGGATGAAGTACCCTATTTATAATACACAGACCGCCTGCCTGACACTTTCATATTACACCAGATTTAGAAGGACCCCATAGGGATGTGGTGTCACAGTCTGGTTACTGCAAATTGGTATCACCATAATTAAACATCGGTTTTAAACACATATTCATGCACACCATCTCACAAACGTGAAAGAAAACTATTCCAATAAGGAAGAACAAGCATTCAGTTTACAGCAAGCAATTTAAAAACCTTTTTAAAGGATCTTCTTCAAATTCTCTTTCTATATAGGGTTATTCTCACATGAAAATCCCAGGGCAGAAATGTTCCAGAATTCTATTCTTCCCCTTTCTGTGAAGAGAGCCTAAACTGAAGCTTAAATAAATGTATAATTGTACCCCTAGGGCTCGGAAACCACCTTTTATTTAAAATTCTAGCCCAAGTCTGAGACAGGGGCCTGGAGAGTATATTGTAGCAAACGGCTCCATAAATAACCAGGCACACAATAAGCAGGAAAAATAAACTGTTAAAAGCGCCTAAGGCGTCTAAAGGGCCGAGTGAAAACAGAGAGCCATCCAGTCACCATCGCTGCTCTATGTAACAGTCACAACTAATCCCAGACAAATTCTCTCCGTTTTTTTGTATTCCTCTGGCCACAGTGCTGCATTCCCTTTTGTGTTTCGGGGCACGCACTGACTGGCTCTAAGGACACAGAAGTAAACGTAGCAGATTGGGGAGGCGGCCGCACAGTGAGGAGCAGAGTGAGCGATAGAGCAAGAGAGAGGGCTGGTTGCTACCTAATTTCAGCTCACAAACCAAGAAGAGCAGCCAATTTTCTTTAGTAGTTCCGAGAACCTCTTAGCACAACCGGACAGACCGCCGCCTTTTTTAGATTACCATAGCAACTGCGCCTCTCCGACACCGGAAGTAAGAGGCAGAGCACTTTCCAAACGCTCCGACCAGAGATCTGTGAACTATTGACCGAGAGAGAACAGTCATGGCATTGTAGCTTATCTATTGCGAGACTGGTATGTCCAGAATAATGAGAGTGGGGGGTCGTGTGCTGCACGCGGCTGGGACTAAATGGGTTCTGGCCTTAGACTGCCTGCGCCCCCATTTCCTTGCACACGTTCGGACTCTTTCTCGCGCGGAGACTGTTTCCGGCGAGCTGCGTTCGGAGTGACACCTCATCCAGTGCTTACTACGCGGGCTTTTTAGCTTCCGCGTTTGCGGTTTCTCAATTGGCTCTATCCAGCAATTGGCTCTATGCAGCAACGGAGTCCCGAAATGCCGTAGGTATTCCTTCCCTAGATGTTGCTGTTTTATGGGCCCTCTATAAGCAAAAAGAATATGCAGGAAGAGTATGGTTACCCCCATGGTTACCTTGTCTTTTCTATTTCTATAAACTTGTCTCTGTTGACAGCGTCGGGATGCTCGGTATTCCCAGCCCACCTCTACTCTTCGAACACTTCTTTGACTCTCAAAACCTCCCATCATTGTGTAAGCTGTAGGCTAAATTTGAGTAATGTCTAACTTGAAATAACTTAGGGTTAACAGAGTGAGAATGCAACAGTATATTAAGTAAATATGTCTCTGTAATTTCTAGAACTTGTTAAGTATTTGTGTAGTGCATTGAAACTCGGGAGAGATTTCATGAATGAATGGATTTCAGTGCCTGGATTTCTTAAGATTCTCACTTAGCAACTCAGTAATAAGTGATTTGCTTTTCTTACTTATAAAAATAAACTTGGAAACATAAAAAGTAAGTTTGTATTGGATCATCTTTAAAATTACAGCCCAACCCCAATAATGTGATTACCGAAAATGACCGTAGTAGAGATGGGTATTGTGCGAGACGATCTTGTATTCTCCTACCCTTCGGCTACCCTATATAGGATAAATAAAGCACAGTGAGCGGTTATAGAAAAAGTTTTTTTTAAAGGTCTTTAAATAATTTGAGGGAGAAGGAAGGGCGCAATACTTATTTGGCTACCTCCCTGTGCCAGGCTGCTTTAGGTACTTCCTGCTAGGGTAACATTTTCCTGTTTGAGTAAAAAGCAGAATAAAACTTTAGCAGGGATACTTGCGTTAGATGTGAGCTGACATCTAAAAGGAGGACCTTCAGAAATAACAATCTACGTTTATTGACCCTTACCATTCTAAAAAGATTTGTCTTTTACTACATTAGAAAAAATGTCTTATTATCACATTGCTGGCAAAGATGATGGAACAAAAAATATGCAGGAAAAGAATGAAAATGAATTTGGTGTGTGAACCGTATTCCTGATCTATTTACAGAAGGAACCAAAATCTATTAAAGGTGGATCTTTTTTGGTAACTGGCAACTTTAATACATCACCAGATGTTGTTATATTAGAAGAGTTTTCATGTATCTGGCAATAAGTACATTGACATTTCATATATATAGCAGTTTTGTTGGTTGGTCCATTTTTTTCTAAAAAGTCAAAACAAACAAACAAACAAAAAACCAGGGACTTGCATGGCCCAGGCTGATCTTAAACTCACTTTGTAGCTGAAGAAAACAACAAACTTCCAATTCTCCCTTCCACCTCCCCCAGTGCGGGGAGTGCATACCACCTACTGTTTATGCAGTGCTGGGAATCCAGCCTAAAGCTCTGTATATAATAAGTGAACACTGTACCTGATGAACTATATCCTAAACCCAGTTTTGCTGCTAATGTGTTTTAGCAAAGAGATTAAAGGCCATCTTAATAGTTTAATGTAAGAAGCATAGTCATATTGTAGTACACTGGTTCTCAACCTGTGGGTTATGACCCCTTTGGAGTTCAAACAGCCCTTACACAGGGGTCACCTAAGACCATCGGAAAACAGATATTTACATTATGATTTATAGCAGTAGCAAAATTACAGTTATGAGGTAACAATGGAAATAATTTTATTAAGAAGGTTGAGAACCACTGCTTGAGTAGAAGAGTTCCATCTTTGTTAGTGAGATGCTTTGTTTTTAAATGTGATAAACTATTAAGTCAAAGTACTAATACAAATAGTCATCTTGGGAAGTTCTTATGAAAGATAGTTAAAAAAATTTTTTTTATAATGTGGATGAGTGTTTTGCCTGCATGTATGTATATGCACCACTTACATGCCTGGTGTCCAGGGAGTCCAGAAGAGGGTATCATATCCTCCAGAACTGGAGTTAGAGATGATTGTAAGCCACCATACAGTTTCTGGGAACTAAACCCCAGTCTTCTGTAAGGGCAGCAAGTGCTCTTAACTTCTGAGCCATCTCTCCAGTCCCAGAAACTGGAATGATTTTCAGTGATGTTGAAATGATGAAGTGTTGGTATGCATTTGCAAGGCTATGTGTATAATGCAGTTGTGGAAAGGTGTGGTCTGTACCCACTCATAATTTTCTTTAAATTTGACTGGAAAATACATTTTGTTGTTGTTCTTCTTCTTCTTTTTCTTAATAGAAGCAACTGGGGAAATAAGTGTGGCCTGAATGAATGTAAAATAAGTGGGGAGATACAGTGGCTAGCATTTTAAAAACAGTAACAGGAACCAATTTGTAGAAGACTGCATACAGCCTTTAAGGCTTAAGGGCAAGCAAAATAAACAGTTGTTTGGGCTTAGATATGTATGTGCTAAGATTATAGCAAAAGATTATGTCCAAAAGCAGGGACATGGCATAAAATTCATTTTAATGCTTGCTACATGGGGGAAGGTGGGCTGAAGAAGGAGCCATCAGGTGTGTCCAGTCATGTTGGTGATGCTATTTCTTAAATAGTGTCATGAATTCTTTGATTGCTCCCTTTTTAAATTTGAACTTCATGCCGGGGCAGTGGTAGCGCACGCCTTTAATCCCAGCACTTGGGGGGAGGCAGAGGCAGGAGGATTTCTGAGTTTGAGGCCAGTCTGGTCTACAGAGTGAGTTCCAGGACAGCCAGGGCTACACAGAGAAACCTTGTCTTGAAAAACCAAAAAAAAAAAAAAATTGAACTTCATTTGTTTTTTCATAGTAGGAATCACCTACTTTCATAGTAGGAATGAACTTAAGTTGTTTTTTGTTTTGTTTGTTTTTTAGATTTAGAGATTATCTATCTTGTGTTCTCAGTAAGTACAGTTTCTCTATGAACTGCTAGAGCCTTTGGCCCTTTCTTGAAAAGAGAAGCTGGTGAATCAACTAATTGCTGCTCCTAATTTTTTCAGTCTCCCCAAGCAAATATACTCTTGTTTTTCTGTGTATGTTCTAAAGCCAGAGGCAACATGAGTAATGTAGGTTGCAACCTGGCAACCTTGGCTCTTAGACTTTAAGTGGAAAAATCACTTGTACTTAAACACCAGGGTTTGAATCCTCATAAATAGAATAGTTGATCAAAAATATTAAGTGACTGATAAAGTTGCTGTTTAAAAAAAAAAAAAAGATTATCCTAAAACGGATATGGTGGTACCTGTAACCACAGTGCTTCGTAGCTAGAGGCAGGAGGATCAGATCAGGAGTTTAAGGCTAAAATCAGGCTCACAATTAAAGGAGGAGGGGGAAAGGGGAGAACAACTGCTTTAGACTATATGAAGAAATTTTTACACAACATTTTTGTTTACATATTACTAAGGCCAAGTGAAAAAGCTTTTACTATTGATTACATTCCCATTGAGTCTTTCCCATCCCCCACATCTTCATTCATGAGTCTTCTAGTACCATTTACCTAGCCTTTCAAATTAATGCAAATTAATTCTGTTTCAAAAATAAAAAGTTAACATAGCATTAGTGTTGAAGTTTCTAACTGTGGTGCTGTTCTTAGAGTGAGTTAATTCTGCTGATGCTCTTACAAAGTCTGAGAGTTTTCTGAAAAAAAATTTAATGTACTATTTCTTTTTTTCAATTTACTATTTCTTAAATTAAAAGAAAAATGACTGTCTAGTGTAACCCAACCTCACTATGTAGCTGAGGCTGGCCATAAACTCTAATCCTACTGCCTCCATCTCCCAGGTGCTAGTATTACAGGCATGCATTTAATCAGACTGGTGTAATGCCAAATGCAAGTACTTTTTTAAAAAAAGATTTCTTTATTTTATGTATATGAATACACTGTTGCTGTCATCAGTCATACCAGAAGAGGGCATCAGATCCCATTGCAGATGGTTGTGAGCCACCATGTGGTTGCTGGGAATTGAACTCAGGACCTCTGGAAGAGCAGTCAGTGCTCTTAACCACTGAGCCTTCTCTTCAGTCCTGAAATGCAATTATTTTTATTGTGTGAACTGATTATAAAAACACAGGGGAGTAAAATAATGTAACAGACCAAGTAATAGTTAACCATTTAATAAACATTGGTTGACCAGAGGAAATACTCAGTTATATAACTAATTTCTTTTACTTAAAGATATTTTACATTTTTAAGGTTGGTAAATTGTTAGTACTTGCTGTAAACATTGAAAAAGTATGGATTTTAAGTACATTTTTATTGATTATAAAAGTCAGCAAGTTATATAACATATAATTTAGTACATTATATAATATATAACATAGTATGTGGCCTTTTTTATAATGATGTGTGGCATTCTCCTAATACATAAATTAAAATCCTTGAATGTCCCTAACATTCCAAAACTAATGCATAAATCATATTTTTGTCTCAGGGACTCCCAGCCATGTGCTGCCTGGCCTCAGCAAAAGCTCTTTGGAACTGCAGAGAATCCATATTCCCTTTACTCTACTATCCTTCATGCCTCTAAAGCCAGTACCACACTGGATGACATTGCCAAGGTTGTCTCTACTCTGGTTGGACAGCTCCCCACCCCCAGCTGACCTAATTTGTAGCAGCTTTGTTGTTGTTGTTGTTGTTGTTGTTTTCTGAGAACAGAAACCCCCTAGGTTGTCTTTCAGGGTGAGTTTTTGTCCTGAGGTCCCCCTTCCCTTTGTCCTAGTACAGAGCAGCAGGACTTGCCTTAATGGGACTAATATCCTAACCATTTGCAGCACAACACATTATGTTCTCTGGCTTTCTTCTTTCTCCTTTCTTCTCCTCCTCCTCCTTCTTTCCTTCTTCTTCTTCCTCTTCCTGCGCCTTCTCCTTCTTTTCTTCCTCTTCTTCCCCTTCCTCCTCCTGCTCCTCTTCCTCCTCTTCCTCCTCTTTCTCCTCCTCCTCCTCCTTCTCTTCCTCTTCTTTAAACTGTACACATTATATTTCTTTCTGCCCCGTTTGCTCTGTTTTTAGATTTGTGTAAGAATCACTAATAGCAACCATATCATACATTCAATATTATGCTGTCTTGAAATTTCTTCCACCAAAAAAATTGTTCCTTTTTA